CTTTCTTTCAAGTTTGTTTATTTCTTTATTTTAGAGAGGGAGAAGGAAGGGAGAAAGGGAGAGAAACATCCATGTGAGAGAGAAACATCGATCGGTTGCCTATTGCATGCATCCCACCCGGGTACTGGGTCCACCACCCAGATGTGTGCCCCCCAATCGGGAATCAAAACCTGAGGCCTGTTGCCTTATAGGATGACACCCAACCAACTGAGCCACCCAGTCAGGGCCGGTGGCTTCTTTCTTTCTGAGGGAGTGACCTGTGAATTGGACATGAAGGAACAGAAGAAGACAGCCATGTGAGTATGAAAGCAAAGGCCTTCCAAGTAGAAAGAGCAACCCTGAAGATCAGCATGTGCAACGGGAAGGGCTGGGACTGAGGGGGGAGGGGCAGGGTCAGCTGTGAAGGTCTTCTTAAGCCAGAGTCTGGAATTGGCTTTTCCCTAAGCCTGATGGGAAAGCACCGGAAGTTTTGAAATAGGGGAATAACAGTTTAATTTGCATTTTAAAAGTTTCCTCTCATTGCTTGTGTAGTGCATACATTGAGCTCAGTTTAGAGTTTAGGAGGTAGTCTAGACGAGAGGTAGCGGAGGCCGGACCACAGGGTAAAGGAGGAAGCCTGAGGGGAGTATTCTGAAGGGAGGATGCACAGGACTTGCCAGGGGATGAGTTGGAGGAGGGGTTTTGAGGGAAACTCCATCAAGGTTGGCTCCTAGACTGTTGGCTGGAGAAAGAGAGCAGATGGTGGGTCTCTGCCAAAGTAGGGAAGACTTGGGGAAGGGCAGCTTGTGGCAGAAGATCAAGAGTTTGGTTTCGTTCATGTTCGATTTGAGAGGCTAATATGATACCTGTGTGGAATCTGGAATTCCAAAGAAAGTTAGGTCTGGAGAGGCAAATGCGGGGCTTTCAGCCAAGTAGGTGGTACATAAAGCCAGGGGACTGTATGAAATCAACCAGTGAGAAGTGGCTGCAGGACAAATCCTGAGACGCCACACTACAGAGGTCAAGCTGAAGGACTGGAGGAGACGTGGCCAGGAATTAGAAAAAAACCCAGGCGAGTGGTTTCACAGAAGTGAAGGAAGCTGCAAGGAGGAGAGTGGTTCCCTGTGCAGAGGGATGCTGAAAGGTCAGTGCTGGTCCACAGGCCATGGAATTGGGCCAGTGGGTGGAGTGGGGGCAGGGAGAAGCAAGGTGGTGGAAGGTAGAATAATGCAGGTGCTAGAAGAAACACTTATTAAAGGCAAAGGCCCTTGTGATACCGAAGTTATCATCCTCTTAAATATTTCCAGCTGGAGGGGCACTAGATTTCCCTTCTGGGAAACTGAGGCTCTTTGTCATTGGGAGAGAACCTCAGAATTACCCTTTCTGAGGTCTTTCTCTTCCCTGTTGCCAAATCAGGTTTCTCTTCCTGCCAACCTTATGTGAACAGTAAGTAGGCCTGGAGTGATTTTTAAACTTTACCTTGTTCATTTCCTTCAACCCATAGCATATCTGTGAAGTTGGAAAAGGCCTTAGGGTAGGGACCACAGCAAGTCAGGCTGGGAGGAAGGATAACATTTGGGTAGGTGGACTGAGGGGGTGGGGAATGGGACAGGGAATAGAAACAATTTTCTTGCGGTGGGAGGAAATTAGTAATGTCTTTGACATGGTGGGAAAACTCCAGTAAGCAGCACAGCAAGAATAGAAACCCCGGCTTCACTCGGTCCTTGCACACCACCTAGTTCTGAAGGAGATTTGAAGCCCCCTAAAGCAGACTGACATGGTAGAACCGCTCATTCATCCTACAACCATTTATTGGTTGCCAGTAATGACCCCACCATAGAGGCTGGGCTACCCAGATGGATGACCCATGACCTTCCCTCAGGGGAGTCAGATGTGAACACAGTTAACTATTATATAATAACAGAAAAGGAGAGCGGATTAATTCTGTCTGATTTAGTCAACAAGGGAGATGCCAGTTGCCACTAGGATGACAAGGTGTCAATCAGGGAGCAGCCCCTCCTGGGCAGAGAGCACAGCTGGAGCAGGTAGGCAGGGTGGGAGCATGTGTGGTTTCGGCACGGGGAGCCGTGGTTCCTGGTGGGCACAGTGGTGGGGATGTAACCGAAGGGAAGGCGTGTTCAACGCTGAGGCCGCAGAGGGAGACTGATACCAAGCTGGGCTTTATTTTTATAGACAGGAGTGATCATAGGTTTGTCTGTCTTTTTTTTAAAGAATAATCTATCAATAACTGCAGATATTCTTTGGCTTAAAATATTGGTTAAAAATTCTGTTTGATTGACTTAAATTTTTTAGAGCAGTTTTAGGTTCCCAGCAGAATTAAGGAGAAGGTAGAGAGATTTGCCGCAGACCATATACCCCTGTCCTCCTGCAGGCTGCGTAGCCTCCCCCGACCACATTTCCCACCAGAGCGGGACCTCATTACAGTGGATGAAGCTCTGTTCACACATTATTTTACCCAAGCGGGTAGTCTACATTGGGCTTCACTCTTGGTGTTGCACATTGTGTGGGTCTGAACAAATTAATAAGGACATGTATTCATCATCACACTGTCATACAGAGCATTTTCGCTGCCCTAAAACCCCCAGTGCCCTGTCTATGCATCCTTCCTCCTGCTCCAAAACTCCAGAAACCACCAGTCTTCTTACTGTCTCCATAGTTTTGCCTTTTCCAGGATGTCATTTGGTTGGAATTATGTAGCTTCATCAGATTGGCTCCTTTCACTTAGTAATATGCAGTTAAGATTCCTCCTTTTCATAACGTCATACTTCACTTCTTTTTAGCACTAAATAATATGTCATGTCTGGATGTACTACAGGCACCAGTTCACCTACTTGAGGACATCTTGGTTGCTTCCACGCTTTGGTAATTATGAGTAAAAGTGCTGCAAATGTCTGTGTGTGGGCTGTTGTACAGACCTAAGTTTCCAGCTCCGTTGTGTAAATTCCAAGGAGCGCAGTTGCTGGGTGCCATGGTAAGAGTATGTTTAGTTTTGTAGAAATCATAGGTTTCTAAAGAGAGAAATAATTCACCTTTCTTATAGAAGGAGAATTTGTAAATATAGACACCAGTCTGTCTCTTCCTCTGCTTATTTCTAGCGCTGTGTGTCCAAAGGTTAAGAGAACATCAGACACTCCACTAAGTTGCTACCACGTCACATAAAGTATCTAAGACTGATATTCTTCCCTCTTGGTTTTGTGTCACAGAAATATTCGTGTGCATGTGTATGCTCTTTATACCCTTCAATATTCTAAGTGTGAAATGATGTAGATTTACTAAATTCTTCATGGTACTTTCTATGCTAGAGAAAACATTTCTTGACCTTCGTATGTTTAACAGCATAAAAGAATAAAGCATACTCTTTAATGAGTGGGTTTTATAAGTATTTTTAAAGTTAGATGTGTATATTTGCCTGTGTAAAGTTTATGTGAAAAAGTAGGAGAGTCCTGGTCTAGGAAGATCTGTGTCTTGTAGGTGACATTGTTTTAGCCTTCTTAGATGAGTTTATAATGAAAAACGCCACATCGTTATGGTGTGTTTGACAGTACACAGTGCACACTGACACATCATGCACAGTGTGTTTAAAGTCAGAACCTTTCAAAAGAGCTGGAGAGCTGAGTGGCAAAAGTGGCTTAGGACATAAATCGCTAAAAAACAATTCCAGTACTTGAAAGGAAAATTCAGTTTCCTTTGTTACATATTCCATAGGTAGTGAAAGAGGTGGTGGCTTTTTTCTGTCTCCAAAACCTCAGAGAACTTAATGTTTTAAGGAAAACCCTCCCAGACCAGTGGATCATGTCAAATATTTGGTTTGGTAGGATTAATATCTCACTGCACAGTGGCAGTGGGAGTACTGTCCTAGTTTTAGAGACGATTATGTAAACTAATGAGCCCCGTCCGTTAAAAAACTTAGGGGAAGAAAAAGCCATTTATCATGTGGATTGCACTGACTGTGTTTAGAGAACATGGAAGTAGGTATTAAATACTTACAGTCGGGTTACGTTTAATTAATGGTGCTCTTTTGGTGATGCTAAGTGAATAATTATCACACTTTGTAAATTTTTAATATTGCTTTATTTTTTTAAAAACTCAATGGTTTTTTAGTCTGTGCCCACTGGCTTAAAATGAATTTTTCAATGAAGTTGACTTTTCTCTGAATTAGTTCTGGTACAACCCTAAAGAATTAGTCTCTTTGGGGAGTTGTAATTGTGGATCTCTGCCACTAGAGGGAAGTGACATTAGTATTTATTGTGGGGGGAGAGGTGTTTAATATCTGATCCTTTGCCTACTCATTGACCCTGAACGTGGAAGGGAGTTATCCCCAGCATTGAATTTATCCCTGTTCTTATATTACAGAAGACTGTCTGGGAAGGAAAAGGCAGAATTAAGGGCACTGGACTAGGGCTTGATGTATGGATTTGTGTGCCCGAAATGTGGGCGGGGTCCCTCTAAATCCTCCAGGATGGCTTTGCTGGAGAAAGTGAGTGACTCTTCCAGCAGCATTCACCCACTGGTTTTGACAGAACAGTGCACTGAGCAGTACTTTCTAGGTTGTCAAGCTCTATTCTCAACACTCAAGAAATACCAGCAAATCCTAGCAACAGTCCTACGAGGTAAGTACTCTTATTCTCGTTTTACGGAATAGGAAATGAGGCGCTTAGACATTAAATGACTTGCCGAAGATCACAGGACCCGTTTGTGTTGATGCTGCAGTCCGCAGCCCAGGCAGTGGCTCCTGAGCATGGTGTCAACCACCGCGGTAGCGCCCATTCAGTACACACACAGTTTCCCAGTGCCAAGGAGACAGGCAGTCGTAGAATTATGACAGATTTGAGTCTGCAAAATAGAGAGGTATCTTGGTTAAAAAAATACAAAAAAAAACCCCTGCAGATTTAAAATTTGTATTATATTTTAGATAAAAACGGATTTTTCACATTTGAACATTCCTGAAATGAGGTTGTGGCTTACAGTTTTTTTTTTTTTATTGCAGCTTACAGTTTTATTAGAGAAAATGAGGTATTTGTCTGTAAACATACCAACTTCATTCATTACATTTGCCAATCATAAAAGTGTAATATTTGAAAACTATTTCTATTTTAGATCCTTGCACTTCATGAGAATTCCCCAGTATGTGTGATGATTGCTTAGATGTGAAGCAAAAATAGAAAACGTACATGATGCATAGGAAAAAAGGTTTAACGTGGGATGTGGTAATGTTTGACAGCGTGTCGGATGGGGCTTCCGAGGGTAAGAGTTCCAAGAACCTGACTTTCAGGAGGCCCCGCATTCAGCCTCTTCTCAGACTCTGAGCGTGACTCTCTCTCCTTTCCCCTCCTTGTGCACAATCTGGTAAGAGCTACGTATTGGTCCTTATTCTCATCACAATTCCAAAACTAGTAACGTTATAGAATGTCAGGGGCGAGCTGTTGTCTTCCGAGTGGTTTCGCCTCGTTGTCGATCCGTGGCAGTTCTCCCTGGTTCACTGAAGTCGGTGACAGTCCTGGGTCCTTCACACGAAGTGGGCAGAGTCTGCGGCGTTGGGGAATCAAGGCACAACAGCAGTGCAGGTGTGTGCGCCTGGCCAAAACGTGTATCGGCACATACGTGTGCCCTGTGTAAAATGCTACTTTGTGTGGTAAAGCGTAATCCCCCCACCCACTGACATTTTGAAACCAGCTTAAGGAAAGAAATATATATGCTTTCAGGAACATTTGTAAGGGAGTTCCCAAGAGTCCTCAATTAACCACACATTCACACTAGGCAAACGTTTTTTCAAGCAAGGAAGGAAACACTTTCCTAGAATGAGTAAAAGCTAACTTTTGAAAACAATTTTTAGACCATCTATCTTAAATCTCTCTTTTATGTATTATTTATATTCTATTTCTCATTTTCATTAACTGTTTAAAAATCTGTAGCCAATGCCAGAGTCCTCGAAGACTCTGTGTGTCTGTGCACACTGAGGATTTTGCTTTTGTAGCTCTGGTCTGCATCTCTCCCTTAGGGCACTGCTCTCCTGCAGGCCCACACACGTTTCACAGAGAAACGCAGCAGTGAAATTCAGACTTAGGGTTTGCCCCTTGTTGACAGCTCTATGGAAGGTTCCGGGTGAGAAGAAGTTCAAATAATTTCATCGGGTGAAACTTATTACTCATGCTTTGCTTAATCTCTTTCACCAAAGAAATAAAATAATTTTTATATGGCCTTGGAAACTGATATCACTAATAAACTGTAATTGGAACTATATTGTATTTATGGAGTCAGTTTTCATACCCAAATTTAAAGAGTCATAGTACCACAACTGTTCTATGTTACTTCATCTCTCAGCTGATGATAAATTTACATGGCTGCATTTCTTGGGGTGTTTTTTTTTAAGTTACTTAACTAGTCTTGTATACTTCTCGATATAAATCCTGGAATCAACAAGAATATTAGATGTGACTTCATTTGGGGAAACAGATTTAAAAATTTATTGGGCTTTTTCTAGGATAATAGCATTTTATGATTTTAGTTATTTCTTCCTCATATGCGAGTTCTTTGGATGAAAAATAAAAATAAGCAAGATTCAGAACTGTGTCAGTGAATGTCTCAAGGCACTTTTATAGGACCTTAAATTCCTACTTCACTCAAAGAAGCAGTAACACCCTGATCTACTGTGAGGCAGAGAATAGGGTGAGGGAGGGTATTATCGACTCTGGACAGAGTCATTATCCTGATAACTTATTATTCACTTATAAAAACTGGCCGTATGGGTTGCATACTCTGGTCTGTTCATCTGTTCATTATTTCCACTTGTCCTTTGATTCCCTTGAAAGTAGGACACTGAAACAGTTCAGTAATTCATGGCATGGCTCATATTCATAAGACATCACAAAGACTTTGTGTTCCCTTTCCCTCTAAACTGTTCTTGTTTGAATACTTACGTTAACCGATAGGCTCAATCCACAGATCACATGTTGACTGGTGGGAATTACCTGTGTTAGATTTTAAAGACACATGTTAAAATAGCCTTTGTGATTTGGGAGACTGGGCCAGAGCTCTTCAGTTATGAAAATTGCATGCAACAGACGTTGCTCCCCAATAAAGCTGAAAGTGACAAATCCTACCTCAAGTTTTAGGTACCTGACAGATGGCTGGAAGCTCAATGAAATGTATATGATCCCATTTCTGGGGCAGAAACTCTGAATGAGTCTTTGAGCCATGAATTCTGCAGTGCTTATTTTTAAAGCTATGGTACTAGACAATGACAAAGGATAAATAGAAGAAACGATTATTTTGAAAGGGAGAGGAAGGACTTTGATAAAGTCAAATGTCACTCAAGATCTTCAGTGATGATTATGTTTATCTTTTAGCTCCTGGCAATTTATTGGTTAGTGTTTCTGAACAATTGAAGGTTGTCCCTCCCTGAGCTACCAACAGGGACAGCCTGCCTGGATCGTCACATTTTTTTCTGTGTTTTTGTATCAAGCAGTGTTATTTGAAAATAGTTGAGTTGCTTCAGGGAAGATAGATTGGCAGAAAGTCAAAATGGTATAATCATGGAGCAAGTTACCAAAGACCAGGAAATTACTGTTAAAATATAAAATGTGTTTTGATATATATTAAAACAACAATAGCAGAACTGAAAGAGTAAAATAAATCACTTAGGATGAACCATTTTTAGGCTTTCATGGTGCCTATAAATTTTCTATATGCATATGATGACCTCGAATAGCCAGATATTTCTCAAGCAAAATGTGTTTATTTGGAACAACAAAATTGCAATTTTGGACATGAAGTCTAATGGTGATCTATGTGCAAGCCCAGAGAACAAAAGCAAGAGACTATTATTTTATGGGGGGCAGGGGCGGAGGACGTTCAGAAGGACTGTCTAAGCAGAGAGTCCATTGGAGGAAACCAGGAGTTTGCTGTGTATTAGCTGAGTTGTAACAGTCTTTCATTGGCTGAGTGGTAGCCAGCCATGGAGAAGATTCTCCTCCTTCTTCCCTCCCGCTGGAGTATTAGAGTAGTTACAACATTCCTATTAGAGATCGAAGGTACCTCTCCTCCTAGTTGGGGTAATTGACAAGCAGCAGGATGTGAGAGCTCCCCCTATAGGCCAACTCCAGTTTAAATGAGGTTTCTGCTTATTTATCTGTACACATACATGATTTTATATAATTGTAATCATACCATAGTTATCCATTTTATGGTTTTTTATGTGACATGACCATGCTGTTATATAATCTGCAATGATTATTTTTGGTGTCTTCATAATTATTAAATAGGTCATCCACCTTTGATGCCTGTAAGGAAATTTTTTAAAAGAGATAATAGCATACACTCATACATCAGGTACTGATGGTCCTTCCAGTGCAAGGTTTTGCATCTTCACTTCTGTTTTTCAGCTACCGGTCTTGGGGGAGCCTGTCTCCAGATTCTGACTGGCAGCATGATCCACCAAACTCGGACTCTTGCCCAACGCCTGCTCCTTGCACCTTTCTCTAAAACTTGCAATCCCCTTTAAAATGTAAACCCAGCTGGATAGTCAGAACTTCAACATTATCAACTAAAACTTTAATTTTTAGTTAAACCCTTAGACGGGATTGTTGGCTACAGAATAAGAGCAAGGTGGAGCTGCAGGAATGGGCATTTGCCACAGAGGAAGAGAGGTGGTAGGAGAGGGGATGGACAGAGGAGGCCGGTCATCACACATGGCTTGTGTGGGCTACATCTGTTCACCTGTGCAGCTCTCCCTAAATGGGGGAGGAGGTTCTGCTGTGGAAGTTGACACACCTGAGCCCTGAGCCCTGGGCAGTGAGGTGGTAATCTGCAGATCACAAACCTTGAGCTCACCTGCTGTGCCCTCTCTGTTCTCATCTGCTCACTGCAGTGGAGAGGGTGTGCTAATCATGTCCCCAGTAGGACTGAGTTTCCACTCCAGGAAAAAGGTCGCCCTGCCCTAGTTCCTGTTTTTAGTCATTTGTTCAGAGGAAACAAAGTACCATTTTTCATCAGCCATGCTTGTTGTGAAGGAAAGTAAAAAGCTAATAAGTGTTTTTGGTTCATGTCATAATGAACCATTAAAATCTGCCTAAAAGTCATAGACTTAAATTTTTATTATCCTTTTTAACTGATCATAATGAAGATTATCAAGAATGACAGTGCTTTAAAAGAAAAAGCATCCAACCAATTGACAAAAGGCAATGTGGTTTCAGAAGCATCCCCCTAACGGCTTGTGTGTAATAGTTGGAAAAATACAAAATAACAGTTCTTTTTTAACTCTAGAAAATAGTATGTCTGCATGTACACATTCTGTGGAGTACCTGCTGTGTACTTCGAGGCAACACAGATGAATGGAAGCTGTCCTTGTACTCACAGAGCTTAAAGCCTAGTGGAGAACTGGTTGTGTAAACACACAACTGTGTGCAGGAGAATGCTCTAAAAAAGGCATGGACCCGTGTAAAACCCATGAGAGATCCAAGAGAAAAAAATACTTATGTTTGCAGGAGAAAGTCAGGCGAACTTGACTAGAGAGGTGACTTTAGAGCTCACACTCGAAAGATGAGCAGAAGTTTCCTAGGCAGAGGATGTGGAATAGGAACAGGGAACAGGCTGTGCAAAGGCAATGAGGTGTGGCCGAGCTGCTGTGTCTGGGGATCTTACGTACTTCAGTATTTCTGACAAGCACATATTTTATTATTATTGGAGCATAAACCACAAAGGGGACATGTGTCCAAGGATAAGGCTGGAGAGATAACAAGGGACTACATCATAAAGTGTTCTCTTCAAAGAGGTTTGGATTTTCCTATGAAAAACCTCTCATACTTCATTGTGCATAGATATGTTGGGCACTTTGGTAGAATGCAAGTCCCTGGGCGTTACTCCTCCAAATGCTGAATCATTGGGTCTGAGAAACCTCCCATAATCTGCACTTGTAACAAGCACTCCAGATAAATCAGGGATGGTAGGATGGAAACCACACCTGAAGAAATGTTGCGGGCACAGCGGGGTGCCATGAACTGTGTTTCATGGGAGAGTAAAGTGATTGTCCAGCGTGCACGCATTGGAGCTGGGCAGCTTTGGAAGAACAGTTTGGAGTGGGGGCTGGCAGGGTATTGTATTAATCCAGGTGCAAGGTCACGAAGGCCATGACTGGGGCGTGGCCAGCTGAAAAAATGTCCCCAAATTTACTTTTCTCCCATTTTCTAATTTTCCAACTTAGTGTGTTTTTTTCTGCCACTTTTAAGTGAGATTTGCTCTATTCTCTTCAGTTTTCTATGCCTGCTGAGTGAATGTTGTCTGGCCTTGTTTTATTAGCATTCTTTATAATTCTATAGGTAGCTCATTTAGCAAGAGCCACCTATAGAGATGATTCTTATTTCACGTTAGTAGATATTAATTCATCACCTACTTGCTACTTTAGAGGATGACATGACTGGCTGTTATCATAACACTTAATAAAGGGAGTAACTTTTTAAAAAGTTTTTGGTAGCGATTGATATGGTTGTTATCTATGACATGTATGACAATACATTGGTTCAAGGAACATTTCTCTGCTTGGTACCAGAAACTTGGTCTTTGCCTTTCAGTCTTACTGTCTAGCTAAATAAAAATAGTAAAGTTTAAATTTTCTAGCCTCGTGGAAAATAACAAGATTGTGTATTTCGGGAGAGGTGATCCCAAATTATAGCTAATATAATTTTTTGAAATTAAGGGTTTTTTTTTTACTGTGTACATATTTGGCTGATATTAAAAGTGAGCTTTTCTAAAGTATATGATTCTGAGCAACGAAAGAAGAGAGCTTTCACGCACAGGACAATGGAGCAAAGCAGGCCTGAAATCCAAAACTTCTCGGGTGGAACACACAGCCAGACCAGCCTGTAAATACTAATATATACATTCAACCAAAAACTAACCACTGCATGGATTTATAACCCAGTCAGCTTTAAAAATACCTATTTGCTTAGTTGTCATAAACAGGTAAGAATTTATGTATAGAAAGCAGATATTTTTTTCATTCTTTTATGTTATAAAATTCCCAGGAGTTGAAAAGACTTCTTTTAAAGTGATTTGAGTATTTATTTCTAAGGTTTGGATAGTTTGTACACATGCATTTTATTTTGTTTGTCAAAAAATATCAATCAAGTTTTATAGCAATGAGTAAAAGTATGTGTTCTTAAGTGTGTAAATCCTTCAAAGTATTCTAAAATCGTCGGGAACGTGAACTCTCAGGTCATGATAAAAAGACTCTGTCAAATGTGTGGCTTCTGGAAATCAGGGTTTTCAAACCTAATTAAAAATAATATAGATTCATAAAAAATAAAAAAATTATAAGGAGAAATAAAATTAGCCATGATCCCACACTTATAGATATTCACTAAAAATACTTTGTTTAGTTCTAACTTTTGTATTTATATATATTATATTTTAAACAATTTATACCATAGAAGTGCTCCATTTTTTTAAACATATTTCAGAAGCATTTACCACTGTTTAGATAATTTTCAAAACGTCATTTTCATTTCCTATGACTGCTGTAACAAGTTACAACAAAACAAGTTGTTTAAAACAACGTATTTTTTTACTCTCTTAGAGTTCTAGAGATCAGAAGTCTCCAGCTTTCCTGGCCTAAAAGTCAGGGTATGAGCTCCTTCCAGGTCTGGAGTGGCGTTTCCTGTGGCCCCTGGCGCAGGCCCGCACAGGCAGCAGGCTGCTTCAGTGTCACCTTGCCTCCTTCTCTTGTCCAGTCTTCCTCCGCTTCCCTCTTATGAACATGCTTATGATTACACCTAGGGCCCACCCAGAGGAGCTAGGAGAGTCCCCTTGTCTCCAGACCCTTAATTTAATCACATCTGCAAGATTTCTGTTGGCATGTAAGATAACATATTCACAGGTTGCAGGGATTAGAATCTGGATGTCTTTAGAATCTATTAGTCTGTCTACCACAGTGGTCTTTATTACCTTTAAAGACCATGAAAGTGGTCTTTAATTTCCACACGCATACATTTTTGTGCACAAACTTGATTATATTTGTATACCTCCTTGGATACCAATTTATCACATATATGTAATATGTACTTGTATGTGTATTACATGTAGATGTATGTATGCACACAACACATTCATATGTATGTGTGTGTTTTTATTTTCCAGATCGGTTTCCAGAAAGTTGGTAGAATGAACTTGTCTCCTTGCCTCTCATTAGCATTATTTTCTTTTCTTAATCTTTGCCAGTTAAATGGGTAAAAAAAAAATCTGATTGATGTTTTAATTGTATTTCTATGAAAATTAGCTAGAGTGAACTTTTTTATGCCTAATGTCTATATAGTCTCCTATAAATTGATATTTAAGTTTTTTATATAAAAATGACATAATAGATTTAGATACTAAAGCTTGCCCGAGAATTCTGTGGCTAAACCTTCTGATTACTTCAGAAGCCACAGTTTCCAGCTCTGTCTGTGGTGCGCCCTCCATGGTACATGGATAGAAACTCTCACTTCTTACTTTAACAGTATAATTTTTTGTAACCTAAGATGTCTGACCTGGAAAAATGTCCAAGAAAAGAAGAACTGATAAATTAACCTTAATCCTATATTACAGAAAGGTCTTTGTGTCAGTTACCACAGGGCTAAATATAACTACACTGACCCACTTACACCAAATTGGTACTTCTTATAATTGTACTGTTAATTCATGCTCAGGCACTGGATGGCAAATGAGGATCTTAGATCCCAGCTTCTGAATCAAGAAATACCATGTCCTTGAAGTTAACTCCAGACAGAGGCCTAGGCAGTGATTAGTGACTGAAGGTCAGTGTTACAATAAAAAAGACATTCGGTATTCCTTACAAACTACTTACACACACATATACATGCGTACATACAGCTATATGTGTGCGGTTTATATTTTCTGAGATTTAGAAATTTGAGACACTAGACCTGCCTCACAGGTATACCATATATAGATAATGGAACGGACTCATGAAACTCTAAGAGGAATAGACAGAAAACTCTTGCAAAAACATAGATGTGTCTTCCAGACCTAACTTTGCTATCGAGTATCTTTCCAACCCTGAGCAGAGCCTTCCTCTCTTGCCTGAGCATTCATCCTAATAGTTGTATTGAGGACTTAAAGATGAAGGAAGTACAGCCCCCGTGCTCAAGGGTCTCTCCCTCTAAGGCAGCCAGATCTGCAAACCAAGGGATTTGGAGTTGATAGACTAGGGGGATGCTTTCCTGCAGGAGCAGAGCCCAGTGGAGGAAAAGCTAACCCAGTGGGGACTGGGAGGCTCACAGAAAGGCGTGTAGAGTAAATGGCCACGAGTTTGTCTTAAAGCAAGATAGAAGTTGGCCTTCCACTTATCAGATGAGGGTGCTGATCTCCAGACCTTGCTCTGGGCTCCATAATTGGATTATTTAGCTCTATTAGAGGCCAGGGCTCAGTGTGCTTAATTGATGGGTCCTTCAGACATCTGGCTTAGATGGAAAGAATCATTCATCTATGGTTGTCTCCCATCGCCTCCTTCCTACTGGATGACCCCTCTGGCCCTGTGAGGATGATACAGTTTTTCTGTCCATTTCCTCTTCCAGGGGGTGGAACTCTGTCAGACTAAGCTTTGGGTCTTCTCCCGGGACCTTCCCCTGCTTGAAAGTCAGAGGTTAGAGTGCCAGAGCAGTCTGCTTGCACAGTGATGATGAAACCCTCCCTGGCCCTATGTGCTGGGCGGCCGTCACGCGTGTTCAATGCCACTTCTCTACCACACAAGCCAAGGAGCCAGCACTTTGGGAGAAAAATGCGTCATTTCCCATCTCTGTCTGTTATCTGCTCTTGGATTTTGTGGACCTGTTATTTGCTACATTTTCCGAGCTTCTGATTCTGTTGGGATCCATGGAATATCTGAGGGAAACGTTACATTCTCCTTCTATTTTGGCCCATCCTTTGCCTGTCCTTTCCTGTCTTGGACCTTTACCCTTCAACCGGCGTTTGGGGATTATACAGTTCTCTGTTGAACCTACCAAGAAACAGAAATCATTTTTTACTGTTCCCTTTTTTAATTATACAATTTAGAAATCATAACCTAAGTTGTAATGCTATTTAAAAATATTTTTAATATTCCAAGGATGATCTATCCTTACTTCTTATCCATTTCTTGGTTTCCGACATTCAGATCTACCCCTACAAGTTAGTTTTTATTTATCTCCTTATCTTCCCTTGTACTTTAGTAATGTGAGCAAAACTAAAAAGTGTTTAACACCACCAGAAGAGTTTTCATTCCACCCGCTCCCACTGGTGCAACTTGCTTCACATTCCTAGCCCAGTCTTTAAACTTGATTTTTCAGAATGTGCAGTGATTACAAGAATTGTCATTTAAGCGGGGCAGTTTGGTATTTGTGTTCCTACTCTTAAAATCTCGAGACAGCATTTGGAAGGTGACCACAGTAGACCTGTGGGTGTGGATAGCCTTGGGGAGGTAGTCACATCTGGGTGCTCTGAAGATGCGGTGGATAGAAGTCAAAGTTAACTTATAGCAGAATCCTCAGACAAAGCGAAAATTAGAGTGTGTTTGGAAACTCAATATAAACCCCGCTTTCTTTAATGTTTCTCATTGGACATGCTCTTGTGACCAGAGGGTTAGTGTTGGGAGCTGCAGCTTCCCAGGCCTCACATCTATACCGGTATACAGTGTCCCACAGTGTCTAAGTTCAAGGCAAAGCTCCGGGGATATTTAAGTCTGTTCTGTGTAGGAAGGAGGAAAACCCTGCCGAGTGAACATGGGGCAGAGGGTGAGGAGTAGAGAGGAAAACTGAAGTCAGTAAAAAGGACCTGGATATTTTTTATATGTGAGAGGGGAGTAAATAGTGAAGAGTTTGATCATTTCTGAAATACACATTGAGTCCTAAGCTAGTATTTTAGTAGCATGCAAGCTTATTTTCCAATCTTATATACCTTTCTCATAAAACAGTGTCAGATAATAGCATCCTGATTAAATGAATGAGCATCCTGTATCACAAAGCTTGTTCATTGCTGTGTAGGCTTAGTTGTTGTGTAATAAGTAGAAAATCCTGCCGAGTCTCTGTATATTGACCTAGATGAGACTTAAGAGTTTCCAATAATCTCAATTCCCTCTTAGTTCTGTAGCCAGAGTTTTACCACAATTGCAACTAAACTATACGCTAGTTTCTGCCAGTGTAATGATTTTATCTGTAGGAAAATGTCAGTTGTTCTGACAATTTTAATTCTTGTGTTTACTGACTGCATTACCTTCTGAATCATAGGTTCCCAAATCAAGTCAAACAGGTTAGAAGACAAGTTACAATTTAGTGTCACGCCTACTCTTATCTTAAATGAGTGTGGGAATGTATCAGCCACTTTCACTGTATTAACTAGTTCATTTCTGGGTCCTCATTACTTTACCCATTTTTATTTTTTTCATTTTGGATACAACCCAAACTCTCCCAAGACTTTTAAGTGTAAAAATCATACAAAGTTATATAGTTAAAAATACTCACATCCTGCCCTGGCTGGTGTAGCTCAGCGGATTGAGTGCAGGCCTGTGAACCAAACAACTGAGGTTCGATTCCCAGTCAGGGCACATGCCTCAGTTGCAGGCCAGTTCCCAGCAGGGGACACACGAGAGGCAACCATACATTGATATTTCTCTCCCTCTCTCCTTCCCTTCCCCTCTAAAAATAAATAAATAAAATCTTTAAAAAAAAGTCTCTAAAAAAAAATACTCACGTCCTTACCCATCCCTTGGAAAATCTGCACAATGGATTCCCCAAAATGTCCAGAGTGGAGATAGTAAGTACATCTGCTGACCACAGGCCAGGATATTCACCATTCAACCAAGAGAAAAAATGAATACTTTCTGTCATTGATTTATCCATGTTAGCTGTTGTCATCTTAATGGGTGCTGCCCAGATGAATGGGCTTTTCTAGAAGTTCCTTAGTACAAGATCTGGGATGTACAGAGTCATCAGGTCTTGAATCCATTGAGAACCCGAGTCTCACCCACTGCGTCTCCTTCCGTCACTGCTTTCTGCACAAACACCCATATAGGAAGTCCTCTCTTGTTGTTTCACCCATCTTCATCTTTGGGTCCAAAAATTCTTCCACAAAATAGTTACTTCACTACTCAGCAACCTCTGTCCCTTGTTCCCTAAACTTTCTCTTCCCCACTTTCAACAGAGTTCCTTCAGCCCATAATTCATATAGCACACTTTCAGGTCCCCTTTTACCATCTCGATTGTTTTTCTTTGGGAAGCCTCTAGTATGTAATTACCCTTCTAAACTGGGATACATAAAAATGAGCACAAAAGTCATTTCCTGGGCTTACCATTGGAGATGGGGGGTGGGAGGATTCAAAGAGAGTTTCCCTTGGATTTGTGACATTTCTTAGAGCCACGTGAAGACTGAAGAATGGACGCTAGCACATCTGTTTCCAGTTATAGAATGTACATAAAAGTGAGTCAATAAGAGAATGTCTTTAGAATTTAAAAATATCTTCATGGGGTTCTTAAGAATTTGAGATTGTTTGAGAAAGTCAACTGACCTATAGTACCAATAATCTGGAGGCATTTAAAGAGAAAAAAATAGATACATGAACATCTGAAGCATCAGTATTTCCAAAAGCACTTATTAAATGGTTGTATAAATCAGGAACTGTCAGAATTTGGAAAGATAAAGATCAATAAAACATCATTTTACCCCTGAGGAACTCACAGACTAATAAGGGAAGAGAGCAGTAAACAGTTATAATTCAGTGTGACAAGCAGCTTGGTAGAGGAATGTTCAAGTCACCATAAAAATACGGGGCGTGGTGTGGGTTGGCCTCATCCCAGTCTTCCATCTCTTAGCACATTATTCCTTTAGCTTCGGCGATGTTTATGTGAAGTGTGTTCTAGATTCTGCTTGAAGGGGCTTATGTATATCCTCGCATTTACATAGGCCAGCCTCTTAGAGGTTGGCACTATCCTCGACCCCATAAAAAGGGGGAAAATGGGCAGAGGGTAAGTGATTTGCCTAAGGTCTCAGTGATGATTGGGTCCAGAATTCAAACCCAAGATTTTTGCTCTTAACCAATGCCCTTCGCCACCATACTCAGGCAGAGCTTTTCTCTAGATTAGTGGTTCTCAACCAGGGGTAATTTTGTTGCCTCTCCGGCCCCAGCAGCATTTGGCAATGTCTGGAGACATTTTTGATCGTCAAAACTGACACCTAGCATGGAGGTCTTGGATGCTGCTGAACATCCTCTGATGCCCAAGACAGCTCTCACAGAACTTCCCAGCCTAAAATGTCAGTAGTGCTGAGGTTGGGAAACTCGGCTCTGGAACGTGGGCACTACCTTTGTGTCAGCCCTTAAAATAAACTTTTAAAATACACAAAAACATTCCTACTATGGAGAGAAGGCTTAGTATGGGGGAAAAATAGTGGACCAAGCCCAAAAGTATCTGGTAAAGTGTATTTTATGTCTTGTAAAATTGAGAAAATATTGGCTTCTTTGTCTAACTTTGTGGACTTCAAGGATCTTCGGTAGGGATTTGAGGAGCTGATAATGCACAAGACAGCCCTGCACGAGAGTGTTACCCTCATCCTTCAAGTCCCTGAGGCAGAAATACTTTTCTGTCAATCACAAGAGTTAGATACCCTTGATCCCAAAGAGAACTCCTGTCCCTTGTTTCCCCTCCTCCTTGTCAGCTGAAGGTGTCCCCGTCCCCTTCTTGCAACCCTCTTATTTCTTTTGGTCCGCAGGCCCCTGCTCAGTCCATTGAGCCACACCAGCCAGGGCTTAACCCTCTTATTTCTGTCAGCAAATTTCTGTTTGTTCCCAGTACTTCCTGGGTGAACTGAGCCGTTTTTTACAAGTTATTTTTGCTTAATTAAAAAAAAATATTAGTGTCTCTTGCCATATTGCATCAGATTTAAGACAACTAGTTTAAATTCCATTTTTTCTTTATATGCGTTTACATAAGCATTGGTCAGTTTCAGGATCTACTGGGAAACGTGCTCTTCTTCAAAATGAGTGACAATGACATTAATTCAACCTCCTCTTCATTCCTTCCATTCAAACTCCAAGGCACTTGGAAGGAAAATAATTCTAGCATTTGTTAAATAAATGCAGGTAGTGTCTTTAATCATGGTCGCTGAGTATTTTCTAAATAAGGCCTTGCCGTTTGAAGCCAAACAGGTGTGCTCTGTGGCAATTCATCAAATGCATGTAACTCATAAATTTAGTTTACCAGGGTGAGCGTCGCAGCCCACAGCGTGATTTCCCTGCCCAGCACCCAGCGTCTTGGCGGGGCAGGACTGACTTCCTCGTGGTGTCTCAACGGTGATCCATTCCGCCGTGAGTCACGGGTTAGCCATCAGGTGTGCGCTGCGCACTTCACCCCTTCGCTCTGGGAGCGGCGGCTGGTTTATTTATTTATTTATTTGGGGGGAATGATCCATTTGGGGCTTTGGGCCGGGGGTGCCGCCGAGGTGGAAGATGCTCCAGTGTCCCGGCTCCTCGGGCTTGGTTCCCCTGGCCCCTGCCCAGGTCGCAGCGCGCCCCCGTTCCCATGAGGCTGCCCCCGTTCCGTGAGGCCGCGCTCCTCCGGGGGGTGTCGGGCTGGGGGAGGCCCCGCTCCCCGCCCCCACCCCCCCAGCCCGCGCCCGTTCAGTGCGGGGCTGGGAGGCGACACAAAGGTGTCCCGCGCAAGTCCGCCAACAGGCCAGTTTTGTAAAAGTGCTTTTACGTTTCCCTTTCTTGGGGGAGGGGGAGCAGAAGAGGAGCTTTTTCAGGGAAATTCTTTTCCTTGTATGTAGATACCAAAAGGAAACTCAGCACTGGGCATGTTCGGATGTTGAATGGTTTGCTGATAGGCAAGAGCCTCCCGGAACCAGAGACTTAAAATAGTCGTCGCCCCCACCCCCCGGAGCCGCGAATGGTATCTGCCCAGGAGATGACAAAGTGCCACGGCCGGATCGCACGCAGACGGCGTTGGAGCAGAGCGCGCGGCCCAACTCTTGTGATTACTGTTTGGGGCTGGCAGGTTCTGGCAGGGGCCGGCCGGGAGAGGGCCGACCCGGGAGGAAACGAGTTCCCCGGACCCCGAGGGATGGCTGTGTGCTGACGAGAGGCTGGGACGGGTGCTTCTCACACCTCCTCCAAGTTGTTCTCCAGATCCCAGTTCGCAGCACGCCTCCTCTGCAGGGAGTGCGTAGATAATCGGGATCCTTTCCCCCACTGCTCTCCGTTTTGGTCGTTTGGCCTTGAACCCGCAGTGAATTGAAGAGAGAAAGGAATGGATATGTCTGACCCCAATTTTTGGACTGTGCTTTCAAACTTTACTTTGCCTCATTTGAGGAGTGGGAACAGGCTGCGGCGAACACAAAGGTAAAAACGCGGGGCCCCTTTGCCTGGAAAGGGGAAAGCGTGGACTTCGGGACGGTGTAAGCCGCCTTAGACACCGGGGTTTTGTTTCTTGGGTGACAGTTTGAAAAGTTTATGGCCTGCCAGGGGGACACTGTTCCAGGAGTTCTCTCCCCTGAGTGGATTTCCTGGGGAATCCTGATGAACGTGCTTCCGAGGCTTATGCTTTTGAAATGCGGATAATGCGAGGTTGAATTGCGAGCGGTGGGCAGAGAAAAGGGGATGGGGAGGAGCTACTTTGTCTCAGTCTGTCTCTTTGATCTGATCCTGTTCATCCATTTCATTCACCCAGACATCAGGGCTTCTGCTTCTCTTTGTAGAGCCTTTCAGATGTCCCCTCTATTAAATATATGACCTTTATAAGATTCACATGTACTACTTACTATACAAAGATAGTTCAAGTTATCCTGGTTTGAATTGTCTGCTTAAAGAGCCAGGTCTGCATAACTTTGCCATTTTTTCCCCCCACTGGCTTCTGACATTTGTTTCTAATACGGAGCTGGCCTTTTCATTTGGTAACATACAGTTGACAGAATAGGTGGGAAGAAAAAAGACTTAAAATCAAGGCGAAGCTCACGCCACACGTGAAAGGCAGTTTAGAGTGAGTTGCTGACAGTGGGCTGAGAGAACAGGATTTTAAAGGAGTCACTTCTCCTCTCTCCAAGTTCGTGTCCAGCACAGAAAGGGGCATTGTGGGTTTTGAGACGCACACCCTCTGAATTGTGGAAGTACAGACTCTTTGTTTTTCTTCAAAACTTGCCTTGCACATACACGTGAGCATGCATGAGAGCAACCGTGCAGTCAAATAAACAGGATGCAGGCTATCAGATTTGGAGCTTCATAATCTGTGTACTGCAGTGTTTAAAGAACACAGAAAAAAATGGCCCATTCTTTCTGGTTACACCTGTAACTTTTTGTCACATAATACTTGGGAGAACTTAGTAGTGTTTTTTTTTTTAAATTTTCCCCTGGTATTTCTTACATTTCAGAAGCATTCTGGAATACTCACATATACCCTATTTATACATTCATATATATATATATATATATATATATACACACACACACACACACACACACACACATAGATCAAGCAAACACAAGTGTGTGTATTTTGGTGTGTGTGAGAGAGATTTAGGTCATAATTACCTTTTAATGCAACTTGAACAGTGTTGGTACCATCAAACCAAGCTACGTTCTAAAGTTGTGCCTTTTAAATAGGCGGCTATGTTTTTTCCTTCTGTATATCTTCAGAGACACTCTTCTGGTATCGGTCGTTTTTGTTCAAGCTGTGTCATCCATGCGAACACATCAATCGAAGAGATGCATGCTGTACATGAATGAGGCCACTGCTCCTCCAGGCAGTAAATCTTGTAACTTCCCTCCCCGGTTGGTCAGGAGGCCTTGAATATGTGTGAGTGTGTATTCCTGGCTGCCCTGCAGCCTCTCCTCCTACTTGGAGCCAGTTGTTGCAGAGATAAGTCTGCACTGGCATTGCACCTGTGTGTCTAAACCCGAAAGGCAGTTGGCGCCTTTCTTTCCCTTACCTACCTGTTGATAGTATTACTGAGAGAGAGTCAAATGCATGACCAATTCTCAGGCTGGCCTGACCTCAGCCATGGGGCAGTATCTCTCCAGCCCAGAACACTCCAGTTCAGAAGCCCACACAGGCAGAGGGCCTAGGTGCTAAAGCAACCTGGGTTCTTCCCAGCAAAACTGGAGAGTAAGGGGCAGGCGGTTGACTCCACTCCCCGAGTCCTGGCCCCGTATCTTCAGTTGAGTGAAACCGAGGAAGGAGGGTTTTCTTTTCTTCCTTCTGACGGTAGTGCTTGTCACAGCCTGTTTGTTACCGGAGACTTCAGGATTCACAGAGTTGAAAGTATGTGTCCTGAAGATCATCTGTACACACCTCTGCTTATTGTGGGTCTCAAAAGGCCAGCATCACTTTGGATTTGTTATGTCGATTCAGGCAGGTGAAGGGCAGCCATCCTTGTGCCCAGGGCAGTGTGTGTAGCTGTCTTGTTCTCTCATTGTACAGTGATCAGTTCTGGCCAGTGACCTTCCCTGAGGACATGGAGCATATGCGTACAGCGTGATTCTTCCCCTTCTGTGACCTCCCATAACTGCTCTAGATCCTGCCTCCTCCTCCAAGGCCCACATTAACCCTGATCCTTATGTGGCTGGTCAGACTCCCCGATGCTGTCCTTTCAGAAAGACCTCTCCGATCCCACGATGTCCCTCACTGAGGGCGTGCCCAGCATCCGGGTGAACATGCCTTGCCCTCAGCTGGAATTGCTTTAATCCTCGGAACATCTCTCCTTCCCAAGCCTACCTTCTTTTCTGCACAGTCAGTGACTTTTACTCATTTTGCATATTTTAGCCCAGTGACTTGTTCTTACTAACATTGTAATTCAGAAAACTTCATTTTAACCTTTAATACCAGCTTCTTATGTCTATCAAGGAGTAAAATCTGGCTTTGAGCCTGTGAATGAGCACCTTCGGGCTCTCAGCGATAGGATGTGTGTACCAGTGAGATGAAAGAGAGGTGAATGGTTCCAGACTCTGTCCTTAAATCTGTGTTACGGGAGGAACCGTCCTCATGGCAGAGGACAGACTCTGTCCTTAAATCTGTGTTACGGGAGGAACCGTCCTCATGGCAGAGGACGATGCGATGTCGCTTTGCCACATCGCATTGGCCTTGCCAGTGTGACAATGGTGTGTGGGCTTCTCCTCTCACAGGAAAACTTCAAAGGTTTCCCTTCCAACTCAGAGCCCTACCTAGGCCTGTAACTCCCTGGATTCTTGAGAAAAGATGCCTAGAGAATTATTCCCGGGCCCAGACTCTTACACAGTACCAATGAAGTCAAAGCCTGGGCCCCTTGTGCTGTGTTCCCAAAATGGTGTATTGTTTCCACCATCATTTTCTTGACCTTGACCTTGGCAGACATTGGGTGGTCCAGATGGACATCAACTTTGTCTGCTGTCTCGGTGTAAAGCTTCTGTGTTCTGTTGGAAACAGTTTCTTTTTTATGACGGGCTTTGCAATTCTCTCCCTCTCTCATGTTTCATCAAGGCAGTCTCCATACAACTAGTGAAGACCTGCTGCTTTGAGGGACAGAAATCTAGGCTGAGTGGACAGATTACGTCAACCAATATTTGTTGGTTTAAACTGAAGTAATAATCGCATGCTTCAGAGACTGCCAACTTCATCAGTCTGTGGATATTCCATTCACTTGAGGAACCTGTCCCATCTTAGAATAGAAATGAGTTTGCCTGCTTTGTGTTAGCACTTACATCGACCACATCTTTTCTTTACTTGTCAGATTAGAGACATGGTGGGGAAGCAGTCAAGTTTACTTACCTACAGCTCCGTGTCACAGGGGCAAGAAGGGCTCCCATTGCTTTCTGGACGTTGCTACTTAGTTTCGAGGTTCACCTGTAGTTTTGCTAAAGTACATGCTAGTGGATCTAGAAGATGCTTGATTTTTTATTTTAATGGTCAGAAATCTGTCGCGTGTTCGTTGGGTTTAAGTGATAATCTCCAAACCTCAGTGATCTAAACCAACACCTGTGGGCAACGTGTGACTCAGTAAAATAACTTTGAGTGTGTCTTCAAAAATATTTTTATATTTTTCTGAGAACCCTTGGGGAAAATGTCTCCCCTCCCTTTTTCCCACCCCTGAATTCACATGACTCAGCAGTTGCTGTGAACAGAAGGTACATTCAGGGATCTTCAAGTAACTGCTGTAGTTGTCAGAATGTGTTGAAATTTTACATATACTGCATTTTCCCTTCAGAAACAACTGGTGAGTTTGGTGAGTTTTTCTTTTTGTTTTGCTCATACATGTATATTTTTTAAAGTATGAAGAATATACTTCTCTCCTGACCTGACATGTCAAATATTAGTGAACTTGTACTCACCCCTTTGATGGGAAGCCCAGTTAAGTCCTTGTTTACTGAGCGTCTCTTGTGTGCCTGGGTTCTGTGACCCAAAGCTGAAAGCCCTAGGCTTGCCTTCAGTGAAGATATGCCCATGAATCACTGCAAACTAGGGTGCAGAGAAGTATTTACAAGGCACACATAAGCCATAGGAGTGTTCAGTAGGTAAAAGTGGCTTTGGTCTCAAGGAGCCAGGAGACACACCACATAGAAAATGTAACAAACACCTCAGGGAGATTTGGGAGGATAGGTTGGCCTTCATCAGACAAAAGAAAGGGTCTTCCCAAAGAGCAAAAGAAGTGGTGTGTACAAAGGCACAGTGGCCTTGACATCACAGAGTTCAAGGGACTCTATATAACAGTGTTGCTGAGCATAAAGAACCAGAAGCGTAACTCAATCTTGCTGAAGCAAGATGTTTTGAAGAGGTGATCTAATATAGCACAGTGGTTAAGAGGTTTGATCTGAAGCCAATTCACCTGGGTTTGAGTGATACTCGGTAAGTTAATGTCTTTGGACTTAAGTTGCTCTATCTGTAACACACGGACAAGTCAGTTACTTATAAGATCATTGTGAAGATTCAAATGTGTCTATAGCTATCACTGCCTAATTCAATGACTGACACATAAAAGCTCTCGATAAACTCCAGTTATTAATATTTTTACTCTCATCACAACAAGGAGATGAGCAGTGGATGATGAGGCTGAGGAAGAGCGTCGAGGCACCTGGTATTTGTGGGAGCTTGGCCTTCATCCAGTGGGAGAGTGAGCTCGCTTTGGCAGTGTGTCTCCAGTGGGAGAGAGACGGTGGCATCTGTGGGAGCTTAGGTCTGGGAGTGGAAGGTGAGACCTAGACACCAGTTAACGAGTTACTGCAGTAGCTGTCCAAAGGGTCCAGCAGGCCTGAGCAAAAATGTGGTGAGATTATGCCTCCGAGACATACTGAGGACATGAAATTGATAGAAGCTGGTAAGCCATTGGCTTTAAGGAAAAGGGAAAGATTTCACAGTGGCCCTGGGGTTGTTGGCT